CCGCGGGGCAGCGGGTGCGGGGAGGAGCGGCGGATGCGGGCAGGACCGGCCGTCCCGCGCGGGGACGCCGAGCTCCTCCTTGTCCTTGGGAACCCTCGGCCGCCGGGACGGAAGGGAAGCCGGCGCCGAGAGCGCGCTCTGCATCTTGATTCATCTCAGGCCCGGCGAGGGTCACATCTTGTGAAAATACCTGTAAAATCCATTTAACGTTCAGTGCAGCGTGTGAAGACAACTCTGATTTTAAACGACGCCTGAGTCAACGTTTAAATGTCTGGGTCCCCGTGGCAGCATTTTAACACGTCTGAGTGCAGAGGGTGGAGAATCGAGGCTGAGTGCCACCGTCGTTCACGCCTGGCACAGCCTAAAAGGCAAGGAAAAGCACCCGGGAACATTCCTGAGTGGGCAGGGAGGGAACAGCTGACTGGTTGAAATTTGGGTTGATCCTCGTTTCCGTGTGTGGGATTTGTCTGCAAAACTTTTTTTTAAGATTGTTTGCAGGCTAAGATCCACAGTGAATTAAATTGTTAAAACACAGGCCTTAACTAAATAGGGGCTTTGGTTGACAAGTCGATTGTGTTATTCTTCATTAAAAACCAAGCAGAAATCGTTATCTTGGTTTTGTAGGTGTGAAAAAAAGTTTGTCATTAAAAAACAACAACAACAAAAACCCACAAACATTTCCCTTGAAAATTCACACCGAAATAACAGCCGAGCTGCAAATTAAGTCCTAGCTTTGTACCTCCTCAGCTGCGTCCTCCTTTAGACAAAGTTACAAAACAAATGAGTAGTTACTTTGATGTTAACTCATAAAATGAGGGAGCAAAGCTGAATGTTCTGTGAACACGGTTTTAAATCATAATAACCTTCGATGTCTCTTCATCTGCCCTTTGGAGTTTAATGCCTTACAAAGAGGAGGGTGGAGGAAAAACATGGGAAATAATGCCAAGGAGAAAATGTTTCCTCCTTAGTCAAAACTGTGCTCTTTGCTGCCCCTCTGTGTCCATGTCTATTTATTGTATTCCATGTTCTGGTAAAAACATCCCTAGCTCACATTCTCACCTCAGCCCTGTATCTTTTTTTTTTTTTTTTGCTAGTCCTGAGGCTTGAACTCAGGTCCCTGAGCTTTTTTTGCTCAAGGTTAGCACTCTACTACTCAAGGCTAACACTCTACCATTTGAGCCACAGCTCCACTTCTGGCCTTTTCTGTTTATGTGGTACTGAGGAATCAAACCCAAGGCTTCATGCATGTTAGGCAAGCACTCTACCACTAAGTCACATTCCCAGCCCTCAGCCCTGTTTCTTGCTGTTAGTCTCATGGCATTAACTTCTGTCTGTATTTTTGTTACGCTGTTTCCTCCAGGTGCTCTTCACTAATGCTGTTATGTACAAAACAGCATTAGTAAAGAAATACTGTGGCTTGCACCTAGCTTCTCAAGAGGTTGAGATTTGAGGATCACAGTTTGAAGCCAGCCTGGGCAGGAAAGTCCATGAGACTCTTATTTCCTATTTACCACCCAAAAGCTGGAAGTGCAGCTTTGATTCAAGTGGTAGAGCGCCTGACTTGAGTGAAAGTGCCTTGAAAGAATAGTGCTCTGAGTTCAAGCCCCTGTGCAAACACTGAAAAATTTTTAAAAATTTTGTTCAAATGTAGAATAAGATTTCTCACTACAGAAGGATGATGACTAGAGTTAATGATCCAAAACTACCAATGGGCTGTGGGGGAAGGAAGTTGAGAGGGGAAAAATTGGGAGAGAAAGAGAGGGGGTACTGTGTTCACTGTAACCCTTCTGTACCTCACCTTTACAATAAAATTTTTTAAAAATGACCAACAATGATACTAAAAAAAAAACTACCAACAGATTAATAAAAGGCAAGTAAAAAAAAAAGCACTAAGAAAATCTCCAAATAAGAACTTGTAGAATTTGATGGCTGATTTCTTTGAATAGGGGAAAAAACAAGACTTTGGTCTCCCCACCCTTTCTTCAGTTTATTCTTAACAGGAAAGCAATAGCTTATTAACATAGTAGTACTGTGATAGGAGGAATCCTCCTACCCTAGTGAACTGGAATTTTTTTCTTTCTTTTTAGAAAGAGACTCCTTTTGGACATCTTGGAACAAGTGGAAACACTTAGGTGCTTGGTATGTATGCTTGTGTGTCCATAATGGGGCTGGGAAGGTGGTTCAGTGGTAGAGTGCTTGCCTTGCACCACATAAGCAGAAAAAGCCGGAAGTGATGCTGTGGCTCAAGTGGTAAAGTGCTAGCCTTCAGCTGAAGAGCTGAGACAATGCCCAGTCCCAGAGTTCAGGTCCCACGACTGGCAAAAAACCCCAAAAAACATATGTGATCAACAAGGATTGGTAGCTCATGCCTATAATCCTAGTACTCAGGAAGCTGAGATTGGAGAATCTTGTTTCAGAGCCAGCCAGAGCAGGCAAATCTGAGATTCTTATCTTCAGTTGACCAGCAGCAATTATGGAGGTCCTCTGAAGTGGAGATGTGGCCCAAGTGGTAGAACATCAGCCTGAATGAAAAAGCCTAGGGCTGGGAATGTGGCTTGGTGGTAGAGTGCTTGCCTAGTGTGCATGAAACCCTGTGTTTGATTCCTCAGTAAAACAGAAAAAGTGGGAAGTGACGCTGTAGCTCCAGTGGTAGAGTGCTAACCTTGAGCAAAAGAAGCTCAGGGACAGTGCCCAGGCCCTGAGTTCAAGCCTAGGACTGGCACAAAAAAACAAAAACAACCCAATTCTTTGTCTAAGAGCTTTGGAGCCTAAGGTACATGATATTGTTCTCTGTAAGAATTATCTCTGAGGTTCTCTCCTAGATTATGGATAACAGAAACCCCAACTCAAGATAGTTTCATGTGTTATTTATCTTTTATGTTCATCCATTTGTTTCCACAGGGATAAGACTCCTAAGAAAATAAAATGGCATCCGGAGATTTCTGCTCACCTGGAGAAGGGATGGAAATATTACAACAAGGTAAGGGTAGACATTTGCAAAAGGGTTGATAACATTTAGAGAGGTTTTATTCATAATGTTTTTGCCTTCTATAATGAAAAGGATCAATAATATCCACCAGAGTAGTTTTTCTTACAGAAGCCTATGTTTCATGGGGCTTCTTGAATACTCCTTTAATGGGAAACAGATTATATATGTTCCTGTTATGGTTGATTCAAAATAAACTAGTGCTATAGACTAAAAACAGGTGTGAGCCACCAGTGCCCCACACCTTTTTGGTTTTTTGTCCCTGTGCTATGAAGTATGCAGCAAACAGTTACCTCCTTGTAACCTGAGTGAAGAGGACCTGTTACAGAACCCCTACTTCAGCAAGCTTCTGCTGAGTCTCTCACAGCATGTGGATGAGAGTGGCTTAAGCCTTAAGCTAGCAAAGGAACAGGCTCAGGTAAGAGCCTTGGGAAACAGGAGGTAGGGAAAATCCTTCTGAGAGAAAAAGGTTTCTAGCTAGAAACTTACTGGTTTTCTAGGTATGGAAGAAAGTTCGACTACATAAGACAACATGGTTGAGGTCTGAGGTTTTACAGCGAGTCATTCAAGAGCTGCTTGTGGAATACTATGTGAAGACACAAGGCACAAATTTAACAGAGGACAAAAAGGTGAGGCTAAGGATCTGAGGTGTCAGTTACCAACCATGAGAATGACCAGGCTAGCCAGGTGTGGCAGTGTACACCTGTAATTTCAGCCTTAGGCGGGAGGATCTAGAGTGCAGCAATTTGAAATAACAATTTGAAAGTAAGACTTCACTGGAAAGAAGGGAGGAAAGGAGAGAGGGAGGGAAAGAAGGAAGAAGGAAAGGAGGGAAAAAAGTAAGGAAAACAAAGGAAGGAAAAAAGGTAAGAAGGAAGGAAAAGGAAAGGAAGAAGTGAAGTTTTCTGAAGGAGGGGACAGCTTTGATGACTCTGAAGATGTGTGAGAACTGATTTGTGGGGATGGCAGGAGTGGAGTGGGAGGAGTTTTATTGTCCCTCTTTCTTGTTGATTTTCTCTCTCAGTTTCATGAGACCCTTGAACAACGACTACTTGTTACTGAACTGACACAGCTTTTGGGTTCCAGCCAGGAGAGAGAGAAACCTTCACTGCTCGGGCTAGAGAAGACAGATCTCCTAGAACTCATGCCGCCCCCTGAGGTTGGGGGTGGGCAGCTGGGGGAGGTGGTCAAAGAGGGAAATGGCTTAATTTTTCTTGTTAAACATTATTATTTTGTAAAAATTGTATATACCTATTGTGGTTAAACTCAAATAAGTAAGGAAAACAATTCACAGAAGAAAGTAAAGCTGAAATACTACCTCCAAAAATACAGTATTATGTAGCTGGGTGCCAGTGGCTCACGCTTGTAATCCTAACTATTCAGGAGGCTGAGATATGAGGATTATGGTTGGAAGCCAGCCTGGACAGGAAAACCTGTGAGACTTAATTGCCACTAAACTAAAATCTGGAAGTGGAGCTGTGGCTCAAGTGATAGAGCATTAGCCTTGAGCCAGGAAAGGTCAGGGACTGATCCCAGGCCCTAAGTTCAAGCCCCAGGATGGGCACAAGAAAAGAAAGAAAGAAAAGAAAAATACAGGGGCCTGGGAATATGGCTTAGTGGTAGAGTGCTTGCCTAGCATGCATGAGGCCCTGGGTTCAATTCCTCACTACTACAGTTGGAAGTGGTGCCGTGACTCAAGTTGTAGAAAGCTAGCTAGCTTTGAGCAAAAGCAGCTCAGGGACAGTGCCAAGGCCCTGTGTTCAAGTCCCAGGACTGGCAAAAAGAAAAGAAATACAGTGTTATTATAAATAGCTTGACACTCTCCAAACTTATATGTTGTTTAGTCTAATTATGTGGGGGGAGAAGGGAGTGTTGTGCATATGCAACCACCAGTACTGGGACTTCAACTCATGATTTCATTCTCTCATTTGTTTTTTTTGCTCAAAGTTAGCCCTCTCTTACTTGAGATCCATTTCTGGATTTCTGGTGGTTCATTGGAGATAAGACTTTGCTGTCCATGCTGGCTTTGAACCTTATTCTCAGCCTCCTGAGTAACTAGGATTAGAGGTGTAAGCCAATAGTGCCTGGTGTTTGTTTTGCTGGTCATGGGGCCTGAATTCTGGGCTTGGATGCTGTCCCTCAGCTCTTCAAAGAGCTCAAGATTAGCACTCTACCACCTAAGCCACAGTGCCACTTCCGGCTTTTTCTGCTTATGTGGTGCTGAGGAATGGAACTCAGGGTCTCATGTATGCAAGGCAAGCAAGCACTCTACCACTGAGCCACCTTCCCAGCCCCTGCCTGGCCTTTTTTGTTCTTTTGAGACAAGATCTCATTTTGTATAGCTCAGGCTTGCCTTGAACTCAAGATCCTGCTGCCTCAGTATACTAAGTGCATAGTTTGTTTTGGTGTAATATATTATTTGTTTTTTTTTTTTTTTGTCAGTCATGGGGCTTGAACTTTGGGCTTGGGGGCTGTCCCTGCGCTCTTCAGCTCAAGGCAAGTGCTCTACCCCTTAAGCCACAGCGCCACTAGTGGTTTTCTAGTGGTTTATTGGATATAAGAGTCTCATGGACTTTCCTGCCCGGGGTTGGCTTTGATCCGTGATCCTCAGATCTCAGCCTCCTGAGTAGCTAGGATTATAGGCGTGAGCCACCGGCGCCCCGGCTTGGTGTAATATATTTTGTAGCCAGCCTAGGCAGGAAAAGTCTGAAACTATCTCCAATAAACCACTCAAAAGCCAGAAGTGGCACTGCAGCTCAAGTGGTAGAATGCTTGCCTTGAGCTGAAGAGCTGAGAGACAGTGCCCAGGCCCAGAGTTCAAGCCCCATGACCGACAAAAAAAAAAAAAAAGATATTTTGTCATATAATTTTTTTCAAGTCCATAAATAGATATAAATAAGATGATACCCCCGCCCCCCAATATCAGTGTCTAGGCACATGATAGTTAGTGCCCTTTCATAAAATAAGTTAAATTGCTGCTAGGATCAACATGGCTCAAGTGGTAGAGCTCTAGCCTTGAGCTGAAGAGCTGAGAGACAGTGCCCAGGCCCAGAGTTCAGGCCCCACGACCGGACCAAAAACAAACAAACAAACAATCACTTCCCCAGTATTGATGCCAAGGGTGGGATCTTTGGGTAGCACATATACCATGGTACATATAGGGGTTTCCAGTGCCCCTGTGTCCCTGTTTCCACCATCATGGAATCTTGCCAGTTGTCTTACTTTTTCCTGATTTTCTTCTTTTACTTTTGAGGCTTAGGGATCAGATTCAGGGCACATGGAAGGCAAGTGCTGAACTGAGCCTACAGTCCCTCTTTTTGCTAATTGTATAAACTGAAATGAATGCATCTTCTTGGTTATTAGTGAGGCTGTATAGGCATGTATTCACTGGCAAGTCTTCTAGTTGTCATGGTCTGTTTGCTGCTATGGCTGCAGGACTTTGCATGGATGAGAGCTCGGCTCCAGATGGAAGTGGAGGAGCAGCTCAAGAGGAAATGTTTCACTCTGCTGTGTTACCATGATCCCAACTCAGGTGAGTGCTGGCTGCCCTCCTCACAGGTGACCTCAGGGTTTCTGGGCTTTATTGTTTTTGTTTTTGGTTGGTTGGTTGTGGGGCTTGAACTCAGGGCCTGGGCACTGTTCCTAAGCGATTTTGCTCAAGGCTAACCCTCTATCACTTGATCCACAGTGCCACTTCTGGTTTTCTGGTCATTAATTGGCAATAAGAGTCTCATGGACTTTCCTTCCCTAGGCTGGTTTTGAACCATGATCCTCAGATCGCAGCCTCCTGAGTACCTAGGATTACAGGCATGAGCCACTGGCACCCAGCTGGGTTGCTCTTTTGAGAATAAAATATTTGAACTTTGGAGTAAAAAATGCTTGGGTTAGGAATATAGCGGTAGAGGGCTGGGAAGGTGGCTCAGTGGTAGAGCGCTTGTCTTGCATGCATGAGGCCCTGGGTTCGATTCCTCAGCACCACAAAAGAAAAAAGCCGGAAGTGGCGCTGTGGCTCATGTGGTAGAGTGCTAGCTTTGAGCTGAAGAGCTGAGGGACAGCGCTCAGGCCCAGAGTTCAGGCCCCACGACCGGACCCCAAAAAAAAAAAAAGGAATATAGTGGTAGAGTGTGAGACCTTGAGTTCAAACTCTACTACTGTTGAAAAAAGAAAAAGGGAGGGGAGGAAAAATAAGGAATGTTCATTTGTTTATTTCATTGGTGGTAAAATAATATTCAGCTAAGTGGAGTGTCTTCCTGCTGCAGAGAAGAGTCCTTAGGAGGATCAAAATGGCAAAGGGAAGAAAGTTTATTTCTGTGACTTAAGAATTCATGTTTGGCTGGGTGCCAGCGGTGGCTCTGTGGCTCAAGTGGTAGAGTGCTCACTTTGAGCTGAAGAGCCCAGGGACAGTGCCCAGGCCCAGAGTTCAAGCCCCACAACAGTCCCCCGCCTCCCCCAAAAAAGGAATTCATATTTGGGGGCTGGGAATGTGGCTTAGTGGTAGAGTGCATGCCTAGCATGTTTGATTCCTCAGTACCACATAAACAGAAAAATCTGGAGGAGGCCTTAAGGGAATAAGCTAAGGGACAGCACCTAGACCCTAAGTTCAAGGCTCAGTACCAGCACAAAAACAAACAGGATGTTGAATTGAAACTCCTTTGTAAAACTACTTAAAGATAATTATAAAAAAAAAAATTAGGGGCTGGGAAGTTGGCTCAGTGGTAGAGCGCTTGCCTTGCATGCCTGACGCCCTGGGTTCGATTCCTCAGCACCACATAAGCAAAAAAGCTGGAAGTGGTGCTGTGGCTCAAGTGGTAGAGCGCTAGCCTTGAGCTGAAGACCTGAGGGACAGCGTCCAGGCCCAGAGTTCAGGCCCCACGACCGGACCCAAAAAAAAAAAAAAATTAAAAAGCTGGGTACTGGTGGCTTTCGCCTGTAATCCTAAAGGCTACCCCAAAGCTGATATCTGAGGATCGCAGTTCAAAGCCAGCCCAGGCAGGAAAGTCTGTGAGACTCTTATCTTAAATTAACTACCAAAAACCTGGAAGTGGGGCTGTGACTCAAGGTGGTAGAATGCTGGCCTTGAGCATATAAGCTCAGGGACAGTCAGTGCCCAGCCCTGACTCAGAACCTATCAAAAATAAAAAAACAACATAAAATGAAGACTGAGAATATGGCTGAAGTGGTAGAATACCTATCTAGCAAGGGAAAAAAAAAGAACAAAGAAAATAAAAATCAATTAAAAAACAAAACACAGTCACATAGGCTGTCCCTTCCCAGCCTATACCTGGGAAGGACATTCAGATCTCTGGTACTTAGGGCTGGGAAGGTGGCTCAGTGGTAGAGCGCTTGCCTTGCATGCCTGAGGCCCTGGGTTCCATTCCTCAGCACCACAAAAGCCAAAAGAAAAAAAGCAGGAAGTGGTGCTGTGGCTCAAGTGGTAGAGCTCTAGCCTTGAGCTGAAGAGCTGAGGGACAGCGCCCAGGCACAGAGTTCAGGCCCCACGACTGAACCCCCACCCAAAAAAGATCTCTGGTACTTATACCAGATGCTGAGGAATAGGATTTACATAGCGGAAGTGGAGGTTAGAGATGTGTTTGGTATATAGAAGAATGAGTTTGTGGTGGATGGATTTGGATTGACCTATAGTGCCACCCAGGCTAAAAGGTAGTTATGTTTTATCTCATAGCCCTTCAGGGTTTCCTAGCAGATAGAGGAGACATAAGAATTGAGTGATTGTCTGGGAATGTGGCTTAGTGGTGGAGTGCTTGCTAGCATGTTTGAAGCCCTGCGTTCAATTCCTCAGTACCACATAAACAGAAAAAGTCAGATGTGGTGCTGTGGCTCAAGTGGTAGAGCACTAGCCTTGAGCAAAAGAAGCTCAGGGACAGTGCCCAGGCTTGAACTCATCAATCCCCAGTACTGGCTCATGCCTGTAACCCTAGCTACTCAGAAGGCTGAGCTCTGAGGGTCACAATTCAAAACCAGCCCAGGTAGAAAAAGCCATGAGATTTTTTTTTTTTTTTTGCCGGTCATGGAGCCTGAACTCTGGGCCTGGGTGCTGTCCCTCAGCTCTTCAGCTCAAGGCTAGCACTCTACCACTGGAGCCACAGCACCACTTCCAGCATTTTTCTTTTTGCTTATGTGGTGCTGAGGAATCGAACCCAGGGCCTTATGCTTGCAAGGCAAGCGCTCTACCACTGAGCCACCTTCCCAGCCCCAAGCCATGAGATTTTTATCTCCAATTAGCCACCAGAAAACTGGAGGTGATGTTGTAGCTCAAAGCGGTAGAGGGCCAGGCACAGTGACCAGGCTCTGAGTCCAAGCCCTATAGCCGTCAAAAAAAAAAAGAACTCAGGTTTGCCTGGCACTGGTGATTCATGCCTGTAACCCTAACTACTCAGAAGTCTATCCAGTAGAGTGAGATCTAAGGATCGCCATTCTAAGTCTAAGTCCAGGTAGACATAGCTAAGAGACTTTTTTTGGGGGGGGGGTCATTCATGGGGTCTGGATTCTGTTCCTGAGCGCTTTTGCTCAAATCTACTGCTCTACCACTTTGAGCCAGAGTATTACTTCTGGTATTGTAATGGTTAACTGGCAATAAGAGTCTTACAGAGCCAGGTGTCAGTGGATAACACCTATAATCCTAGCTACGTAGGAGGCTGAGATCTGAGGATTGTGGTTCAAAGCCAGCCTGGGCAGGAAAGTCTGTGGACTTTTTTTTTTTTTTTTTTGGTCGGTGTGGGGCTTGAACTCTGGGCTTGGGTGCTGTTTATTGGAGATAAAGAGTCTCACGGCTTTTTCTGCTCGGGCTGGCTTTGAACCATTATCCTTCAATCTCAGCCTCCTGAGTAGCTAGGATTACAGGCCTGAGCCACCAGCACCTGGCCCCTGAGACTTTTATCTCCAGTAAACCACTAGAAAACTGGAAGGGGCGCTATGGCTCAAGTGGTAGAGTGCTCGCCTTGACCTGAAGAGCACAGGGACAGTGCCTAAGCCCAGAGTTCAAGCCCTACTACCT